TGTATTAACCAATGTTATCCCGAGAAACTTAATTTTTTTTTAAAAAAGCTGAATAATATTCCAATGTGTATATGTACTATATTTTTTTATCCATTCATCTGTTAATAAACATTTTGGTTGTTTCCACCTTTTGGCTACTGCAAATAATGCTGGTATTAATTTTGATGTACAAATAACTGTTTGAGTCCCTGTTTTTGATTCTCTTCGGAATAAACCTAGAAGTAAAATTTGGATCATTAGCTTTTATTTTTTGAAGAACTGCAGTACTGTCTTCCACAGTAGCTACACCATTTTACAAACCCACCAGCAATGCACAAAGTTAAACATTAATTTTTACAAGTTCATATTAAAGTCTGTTGTGTCTAGAGGAATTAGTCCATGCGGGAAAATGAAACCACAGTTATGTCTATCCAAATGTTGGGCAGCTATACATTCTAGCTCAAGGTAACAAGAAACCCGCTTATTACTGGGGAATGAAGATTAAAGATTTACTATACTGAAGTATATTAAAAATTGGAAAAAGAGAACTGTCATGTCGGGGGCATTAATAATGCTGAAAATCCCATGATCCTCAGAAAGACCAAAAAGCTTTCAGAATATCAAAGGGGCTAGATAAGGGACCCCCTCCCAATACTTTACTATGAAAATTGTCAAATAAAAGGATTTTTGGAAGAATTGTACAATGAACCCCTACATACCCACCACCTAAATCCTACAATTAATGTTCAGCTACATTTGCTTTATCTCCTATCCACTCTTCTATCCATTCATCAATCCATTTTGGTTTTTGATACATTTCAAAATAAGTTGCAGAGATCCATGCACTTCACTCCAAACACTAGCATGCATATAATTAACTGGAATTCAATATTCATTTATGGTTCTTTTGTCAAGTGAAATTTATATATAGTGAAATGTACATATCAAATTACCATTTATTTTTTTAAACTAGAACTTTGAGATACAATTCATACGTTATAAAGTTCACCCTTGTAAGTGTACAATTCAATGGTTTGGTCTCTTTGCAAAGCTGAGTATTGATCACCATTAATTCCAGAACATTTTCATCACGCCCAGAAGAAACCCTATCTATATTCATTAGAAGTCACTTCCTATTCTGACCTCTCTCCAGTCCTTGGAAATTACTAATTCATTGTCTCTGTGGATGTGCCTGTTCTCGGTATTTCATATAAATGGAGTCATACAACATATGATCTTTTGTATTTGGCTTCTTTCATTTAGCATAGTGTTTTCAAGGTTCATCCCTGTTGTAATTTGATGGGCTTTGACCTGCATAATAAGCAGGTTTTTTTTAATCTGCATTTTTCCTGAAAAAAAAAAAGTTAATTTTTGTCAAATTCTCCAAGGAGTTTGTGATCTCTGATCTAAGGGGCGTATATGGAGAATTGGGACACTAATTTAAAAGTCCACTCCTTAGCAAACACTAGCAAGGATGGGAGATTTGCCAGAAGAGCAAACCTTTCTGTTAAAGTGAGACCTTCAGTGCAGCTAAGAGGAAAAAGCACACAGGGCTCCTAGCCAAAGAACCAGCAATGAAGTGGTTCTAGGGCCTCCCAAAGGGAGCAGAGGATGAGAAGGTCAACAGAAGTAACAGCAAGACACCCTGGTTTCTAAAGTTTCTGGAGCCACGAAGGAGCTTGCAAGCAAAATCAGTAGAGCCTGGAACTAAGTTCCTCTCAAGAGGCTGGGGCAGCCTTAGCTACTCCCATGGGGGATAATACTGAACGAGAAGCAAGGAAAAGACGTGGCTGGAAAACCTACAGCTACGTGAGCCAAGCCAATCTGTCACTAAAAAAAGTATAAATCTGCCTTTGTGATCCCTCAGAAAAAGAAATTTTTAAAAAATCAAAGCCTAGCCTGAGCCTTCTGTACCTCCAGTCAGGGCAAAGGGGCTCAGTGTGGCTTTGCCACAGTCCTGAGCAAGGAGAGTCTGCCAAGTGATATTGACCAAGGTAGACTCAGTCGCTAGGTGTATCTATGATCTCCACCAGGCACTCCCAAAGTAGAAAATGCCATCCCTGCTACTGAGAACGGTGTAATTAAAGAAATATTATTTATTTTGAAAACCAAAAGATCTAAAGCAAAATGTTAAGACTCAAAAGAGCTGAGTGATGGGTACACAGGTGTTCGGTCTCTCTGTATTTTCTCTACTGTGTGACTTAAAGATTTCATTAAGAAATGTATTCGAAGGAATGAAACACATATAACATTCACTCAGTAAAGTTTATTGAATTTACTGTGTGCTCAGCGCTGCCCTAGGCAGTAACATGAGAAAAATTTCAAAATAAGATAACAAAGGAAAAATATACTCCACACTCTATTAATTTACAATCATTTCCATGTTGCTTTGTAAAGTGTTCTGGGATCATTTGGGGGTATGTAGTCTCCCTCTTTCTCCGTGTCTCCCTAAAGCTTCTGGCACTACTGGATTATGTGCCAATATGACCATCCCCTGAGGAAGAGAAAGTGGGACAGGAAGAGTGGCTTCCTGCTGATAGGGCAGTCAGGGGTTGGTCAGGATTAGGGTCCCATGGCAGGGGAGACATGTTGAGGAGAAAGGCTCAGGGCACTCAGTGAATCCCAGGAAGGCCAGACTTGGGGAAGCCACAGAGAGGGCCCTGGCAGTGTGCTTACAATGTTAAATGAAGCATAGCTACATGCTCTCCTGGATACCACCAGACTCCCTCTTTTCTTCCTGATCTGTGTTAATACCAGGTACTAACACCACCAGAGGCCAGGCCAGTGGGGAAGTCTAGTACCCAGTGAAGAAGTGGAGGAGGTCCAACATATAACCTATGACGCCCAAGAGAAGGTGAGGACAGAGGCAGCAGAGAAAGGGCAGAGGTATGCAGCAAAAGGGACTATTTTGTGCTTGGCCAGTGCCCCGGGGCCAAGGGTTGGTTTATATGCAAAGGGCAGTTTGGTTCTATACAGCTAGCAGAGTCCTAAACTTCCCTCGAGGGAATAAAGCTGCATAGCATAGAAAGGGAATCCATAACATGCAGGGATCGCCTTGGCCCCACACCAGGCATGCCCCCAGGCCTACTGTGCAACGTGCTGCAGAATACTGGCATGGGGTACAGAGAAGGCCCAAGCCTGTTCAGATGAACTCTGAATACACTGAGCAAAGAGCTCTAACCACCTACACATGGGCATTACAAACAGGCCCTCATCCTGAGTTAGAACAAGGGCTTAGATCCAGCCGACAGCCTTACCAAGGACACCTGTACCTCTGAGGGTCAGATCCCAATGAAACCATCATGTGGATGACAGAGAAGGCACCCCAGCCAGAGGGCAAGCAAAAGTGGCAGTGGCATGGCCTCTTCTCATTGGCAACATGGCCAGGCAGAGGAAACCTTGGAGGAGGAGTGGGAGAGTGCCCAGGGGCCATGGCACCCTCCACCTCATCCTCAGCTCAGAGCCAGATCTCATCACTGCTCACACTGGACACTCGATAGATGTAGGCCAGCACTGGGAGACGGATGAAACCTGCAAGATCAGAGATGCCCAGGAGCCTCAGTAACCCTCATCCTTGGAAGTTAGGAGATCCCTCTCTGCCCCTGGGGACTCAGAGGTACAAGCACAAGACTGGGAAGCAAAGGAAGAGGGTACCTTGACTGGTGAGGAGGCCGCCAGGTTCTGGGTCCATAAGTTCTGGCTGGCTGTTGTTCCGAGCCATCTGCCGGTCTGCTGGTTTCCCTGTTGGGTGACAAAGGGGGTGATGGCCAGGACAAGGAGTGTGCCTGATGAGGAAAGGTGTCTCTTTTTCTCGAAGGCACCTTTGAAGATAAAGCAGGGGCAAACAGAGGGTCCTGGATGTACCTCGGGAATCCGGAGTGAGGTCGTTGAGCTGAAGGTTGGATGGGAGGGACATGTTCTCCCGTGGCAGGCGCACGTTGTTGAGTTTCACGTTGTTGGAGTCACTACAGGGCAGACAAAGCCTGGGATACGCCCTGTCTCCAGCAGGCAGATTCCTGTTTTCGGGCCTGTTCCAGAACTACCAGCAACTGCAGATTCCCACCTGTCCCCATGCTGCATCTCCATTCAGCCCATCCACCTAACCCCAGAAAGAGTTACCTAGAGATCAGAGATGGGTACCGGGAGGGGCCTGAGAAGAAAGAAACCACACCACTGTTCTCAGTGTGTCCACTCACTCTGGGCTCTGCCCCACCTCCCTTTTCAGACCCAGGACCCCAGGAAAGGGATCTCTCAAATGCCAAGCACAGGCTCTGGGACTGGGGTGCTGTTCCCAGTGCCCAGTCCTGCCACCTGGGATGCACATGATTACCCATGGCCACACCTGGGAGCACTTGTTCTACCCAGCCCTCTTTATTGCCTTGTTGCTCACCCCTGACCTCATCTCTACTCCCCTAGCCATCCTCTGCCCACTACTGCTTTGGCCCTACCTTTGGCCTTCTTCTCTTTCCTGCAGACCAGGCAGACTACCAAGGTGCCGAACGCCACCAGGATGCCCAGGGCAAGCCCTCCAGCCACAACGATGCCTAGCAGTGGCACTTCCACCCAGGTGGCCAGGAGTCCTGCGGGTCATCCTTTGGTTAGGTTCCTGGTAGACAGGGCCCCCAGCTCTGAGATGCCACAGGTACTACTCTGTCCTTGCCCAAGGTGGTTGGTACAGCTCATTCAAAAGCCAGCCTCACCCGAAGGGCAACAGATCCTCCCATTTCTGTATCGAGATTCCATACCACCAGAGGCTTTGCTGGGCCAGTTGCTGGCTGTGCTCACCTGGGACTGGAAGCGAGGCACTGGTGACACCCACATCATTGGTAGCTACAACGGACAGGTTGTGTGCCAAACTGTGAAGCTGCAGCTGCACGGTGTGGTTGGTGAGCCAGGGGTAGCTCTGGGCATCCAGCACCAGGAATTCGGAGGTATTGAAAGTCACTGGCCCATCCTGGTCGATCCAGGTCACATTGGCAGGAGGGTTGGCACGCACCAGGGCAAAAAGGACAACCAGGAGGCCCTGGCCCTGAGCTTCCTGGTACTTGGCCCCGACCTGGGCAATCTCCGGCTTAACTAGTACAAAGCAGAGGCCAATATGCTCTCACCACAGCCTCTCATACTCCTTGCCCTTTCTTCCCAAACCCAGAAGGGACCTATTTGGTTGGTTAGGTCCACCTTACATGCAGCATTTTGAAGTGATCAAGAGTATAAACACTAAACCAAAATGTCCAGATCTGAATCCTGGCTCTGCTACTTACCAACTATATAACCTCTGCCAGATTGCTTAAATTTTCTATGCCTGTTTTCTCATTTGTAAAATAAGGATAACAATAATAATTACCTCATAGGATTACTATGAAGATTAGAGTTAATATCTGCAAAGTGCTTAAGCATTTGTGAAATGTCCTGCCATGTGGCTGCTGGGGGTCCCTGGGCAGAGACCCTCTCTCCCTGCCCACTTCAGGGACACTCACATTGCACATTGAGGATGACAGAGGCATTAGCTGACCTGCCACTGCCTGGGTCCTGCAGAGAGCACTTGAGCTCATGCTGGGCCCGCTGGGCAGTGACAGTGAAGGTGCTGGTGCCTCCAGAGAAGGCCTCACTGCCCACACTTAGCAGTCCTGAGGTGCTGGCTTCCTGCAGCTGTCCATCCAGGTACCAAGCCAATTGCGGGGTGCCAGGCCCTCCTGCCACTTGGCAGGTGAAGGCATGGCGTTCATTCTCCCGAACTGTCCGCTCAGCCCAGGCCTGGCCATCAATTTGTGGCACCAACTCCCCACAACCTGGAACACAACAGGGGATTGTGGAGTAGGATTGGTACTGATCTGTGAGGAAGATGAGATCCAGTTACAGAGGGGCAGCAGGCAGAGAGACTGGAGTACCTGGGTACTCTCACCAGGGACTGGATGGATCTTGGGTAGGTGAGTGAGGGGAACCCAGCTCTGATGACTGAGGCTGAAGTGGGCCCCTAAACCAAAGGTGCAGGCAAAAAAGGGAGAGAAGAAGGTTTTACCCCAGAAGTGCTTGGCCAAGGGATGAAGAGGGGTGTACCTGAGCTCAGAAAGGCTGGCAGGAGTAGCAGTGTTGTGTGCGGGAGGGTAGCTGGGCGTGGAGGCAGCGCCATGGTGGCCCCGGCCTGGGCTCCACGCTGCCAAGAGAAGGGGGTAGGTCTCGACGTCAGGGAAGATCAGGCAAGCTTAGTAATTCCCCCAGGAATTAACTCTCCAGAAACAAAAATGCAGACTCACCCACAGGGGCGAAAGCGAGGATGCGAACATCCAAGCCCAAAAGCCCAAACCCACCCAGCACATAACCTGTACCTGCAGGCGCAGAATTGAGCTCTGACTCTAGGGGAAAAACAGGCACACCCCCGCAGACTCAAAGAAAGAAGGAGCAACCGCGAAGGCAGCACCAGGTCCAGATGCACACATACAGATACTCGGCTACATGTACTCCTCCCCCAAAGGGACCGTCCTTCTCCAGACCCCGTGTGTCTTTGCCCCATACGCCACCCCCAGCTCACACACACACACACACACACACACACACACACACACACACACACCATCTTTCGCCCTACGTCCCGCCCCCTTTCCCATCTGGTTGCTCAGGCGGATGTGCGCTGAAGAGGAGGTGATCCGGTAGGAAGGGGTCACGAAGCATCCTCGCCTTCCCGGCGGCTCACCTGGATCCCACCCGGAGCTCAGCCAGAGCGACTGCACAGGTCTGATGAACACTGCAGAACACTGCAGAACACTGCAGGGGCGGGGCTGCGCCAGGCAGGGCCAATCACTGCCCGACAGCGCCGGCCCGCCCCGCCGTCGGGACCAGGTGGGCCGCAGCTCCCTCACTGCCACCCCTGCCTGTCCGTGACGCGCAGGCCTCCCTGCACTGGCGGGGACGGCGGCTAGACTGAGACACAGGCGGAAGTCTTGGCGAGCCGGCAGCTTTATTGGTTCAGTGTGTGCGCCTTCCTCTCCCGCGGGCCGGCTCAGCGCTTACCGCGAGTGCAGCTTCCGCATCAGATCAATCAGCATGCGATTGCACAGCGTGGCGTTGAGCAACACCAGCTGGCGCCACGCGAAGGGGTTTACCAGCCGCGCCGCCCCCTCGAAGTCCCTGCGGGAAGCGCGGTCCCGGCCGCAGCTCAGCGCCAGGGCGAGCTCCAGGACTTCCAGGACTCCTGCGGGAGGAACGAGCACGGAATCCGGGCTCAGTATTGGGGCCCGGCCATTTACATACAACCCGCCTGCACTTTATCCAAGAGGTAGGTATTGTTATTCCCATTGCGCAGATGAAGACTGAAAGAGTTGGTAAGACAGGCCCTAGCTGCATAGCCAGTTAGTGGCAGAGCTGGGACTGAAGTCCAGGTCTCCCCTTGTCTCACACCAAAACGTGAAGGTTGGTGGGAGAATTTTGAATGGTCACCATGTTCATGAATCTGGCCCGTTGCTGGCATGTAGCAGGCAATTTATTACACATGTACGTTATTAACCATCTGCTGTATGCCAGGTAACTAACTCTGAATCTCAGTGTCTAAGAAAATTATTAACTGACAACCGTTTATTACAAATATTACCCATTTCTCTTTCTTTTCCTTTTGAAGGCTTTTCTTTTCCACTGATTTAAAACAGCTTCACTCACCTGTTTTCTCCACAGACTGCCTTTCCTCATTCCTTATTTCCGTAATCTTCATTATTTTGTATCAGATTTTCTGTGAAGGAGGTCTTGGAGCCAGAGCTGGCCTGCCCCATCTTTTATTTTTATTGTCCTCATAAAATATTGGCATTAGGAATCTGAACTCAACTTCAGGCCTCCTGCTGGTATCTGCTATAGGGTTCACTGAGCTGCATTTCTTCTGAGCTCTGTTTTATTTCATTCATGTTCTTGTCTAAAGAGCCTGTCAGGGTGCTTGGGGAGCTTGTGTCATCCTAGAGCAAAACTGATCTTACCCCTTCTGTCTCTGTTTTGCTCCCCAGAACCCTGCAGGGGTTATGCTATGCTCCCTACTGCACCTGGACCTGGACCTTTGAGCTCTCTGATGACAGCATGTCTCGGTTTCCTTCGCAGAAGCTGGTCTGGAGGAATTGAAACCCCTCTGGGGTTTTGGTCTGCAGGCTGTCCCCAGTGACCTTTATAGCCCTGGCCTGGCATTCCTAGTCCCAGGAGCACCTCCACCACCATGAGTCTTAACTGTCTAGTACCCTACTAGGCTTCTGTGATTTACATCACTTATTGGCCTGCTATCTGGGTTCTTGCATGGCTTCTTTTGTCCCATTGTCCCCACTTCAGCTAGTGTAACCAGAGGGTTTGATCCCAGTTAAAACCCTCTAGTGCTTCCTGTTTACCTCTAGGCTCTACTCCATCCTTCCACCATTCCCTGTTCCTGTCAGCCTGGAGATTGGAAGTTGCCTGTAACTTTCATGCCTTCTGGGCCTCTACAGGCTGTGCCTTCTCCACTTCCTTCCCTCCATCCAGCTAACTCCTACTCATCCTTCAAAACTCACTCTTCAGGAGCGGATCCCTCTCATCTTCTTATGGTGGTATAATTCTGTGCCTGCCCCTAAGATGTGAGCTTGAGAAGCAATATCATGTGGGAATTAAGAGCACACATTCTGGAGCCCTGCCAGTTCTTAGTAAGAAGCTCTGCCACTTCTTAGCTGAATGAGAGTAGCAAACTACTTAACCTCTACACTTCTGTATTTTCATCTGTAAAATGGAGATAACAACAGTACATACCTTTCAGGGTCGTTGTGAGGATTAAATTACTACATCTTACATGTAAAGTGCTTAGTGCCTGGTGCACAGTAGTTGCTATAAAATAGTATATCTTTTATCTTCATGTCTTCAAGCATGTGGCCCACTGCTACAATAGTAGATTCATTAAATATTTGTTAAATAAATAAATGGAACGCATCTATTCTGACTCTCACAATAGCCCCATAATCTTAGCAGAGCCCATAATTTATCTCTTATGGATAAGAACGCAGATTCCAGAGGGATTTAGTGACTTTCCACCCCCATTCCCCGGCCCCACAGTTACTACATCTCTGGTCCGTCTCTGGTCCGTGCATTCCAGGGCCCCTTCTGCAAAGGCTCCAGAGCATCTCCCCTTACCTGCCACATCTCCCTGGAGACTCAGGGCCTGGGCTCAGTTGTTGTAGGCTGAGGCCCTCTCAGGCAGCAGGTTGATGGCTCAGCCAAACCTCTCCAGGGCTGCGCTGAGGTCACCAGCCTCTGCTGCTATCACCTGCTGCAGCTCCAGGGCCTTGGACTGCTCCAGCTGTTCGAGGGAAAGCTACATCTGTGCCAGGGAGGTAGCTGGGAGAGGACAGGTATGTGGTTGGAGCAAGAATCAAAGGCCATCTTGGTTCGGAAACCTGGCGCTTGAGCCAGAGCCGATGGGCTGGGATGTGGGTCATAGCAGTTCTCAGATGCAGTATTTGGGGCAGGGGGAGCTGAGGTCACAAAGGGACCTTGGTTGGCTCCCCATTGTCAAGAGAATAAAGCTCAAACTCCTTAGCCTGTAGCTGAAAAGACTTGTTTAAGGTCACATAGCCCATAAGTTGCACAGCTTGGATTTGAACCCAGGTCTTTCTGGCTTCTTAGCTCATCCTCACTTGTTCTACTACACCCCCTCCAACACAAAGACCAACATGATATTCCCAGGTCATGCCAATCACTTCTCATGTATCGCTCAGCTTCTCAGCCTGAAATCTCAGCAAGGCTTAGGCTTTATTCCTTTAACAACAAAGGGCGCCAAACACTTCTGATGGGGACATCAGTCTCTGTTCTCCAAGGAATGCACTCACTGCAAAAGATCGGCTCAGTGCTTGGCATGTAATGGTATGTAACACTGAATGCTTGCTTAGATTGGAACCATTCAACTGAGCCAAGCCTTGCCCTGTTCCTATCTTCCATTCTCTGTGGAGTGATAAACTCTTACAACAAAGATATGAGAGTTTAGTGCCCTCCTCTTGCCACAACACAGTTAAGCTTGGAGCATGGGGACAATTAAGTGGTTAAGTTCAGAGGGCTGAAGGATTGAGACAAACTGGCTTTCTCCACTTGGCAGCGACTTTTGCCAACCTCTATCATTGCACTAAGGATCAATCAACCTCTCTGATTCCAGTCTCAATCATCACCCAAGAGTTGTGAACAAACGACCTTGTAAGACCACCTTCCTCTGCAGACTAGCCAGTGTGGAAAGCTATATTCCAAGGTCAAATACTTACCTTCATCTACTCAGTTTGTTCCTTCTCAGCTTCCTCTCACAGGACCAACCCATCTCCAAATAGGGTGTCAGGGTTGAAGATGGTTTGTAACTGCCTGATCATTTAGAGTTCCTATAGTGCTCCAGAATCCAAAAAGGTGATGGGATGAGTGGGAGAAAGAAGGGGTAGGGGCCTAGCCTCACAGCCAGTTGATCTAGATAGAAGTTCTGTTTGAGGACTATCCCCGTGAGTGCTCCTTTCTTTTGGCTGTAGTGTAAACTCAACCTCCCTTTAGCGTGGGGTTAGTGATCCTAGCTTGGCAGAACATTTACAGGTATTAACTGCCTCTCCACCCCACCCCAGTCTTATGAGAAACAGTAAATAAATCCAATTTCAGTCTTAAGGTGGAGTGAAGAGAGGGTGCTGTTCAGGTTCTCCTTGACGTGCTTTTATTATATTCACAGATTGGGAGAAAAACACTACATGCCATTGCTTGACCACCCATGGATAAAGGAGTTGGAGGATATGTAGGAAATAAAAGAACTATTTTCTTGATCCCATCCTCATACCCAGAATTAATTAAATCCTGAACACAGGTCATTGATGAGTAAGAGAAGAAAATATGGTTAAGAGAGCCAATATGGAATACGGCCATGCCACCCTGAACATGCCTGATCCCGTCTGATCTCGGAAGCTAAGCAGGGTCGGGCCTGGTTAGTACTTGGTCGGGAGACCACCTAGGAAGATCAGGTGCTATGTAAAAAAAAAAAAAAAATGGAGTAGACCCTGAAAGAAGGCAACAGGGAATGATTTAATGATTCCACCTTAAAATAAAGGGCTGTAGAAGGTACTTTGTCATTGGAAAACAGGCCATACTCCGCGCCCATTTCTTGCCCCAGCCAAAGCCAAAAGAAAGCTTTACCATGTGCAGCAATAAACTTGACATGTTTATTAATTAAACTATCACTTAAATAAAAAAAAGTGCATAGAAAATAAACATGTTTAAAAACTCCTTTTTTTTTTTTTACAAGTATGTACACATTTTACTTTTACATTCAGTCTTTCGTAGAGAGCTTTCAGCATTATTATTTTTTGAACTATTAAAGTATTTTCCTTCATCCCTGTCACAGGGAGTTAACACTGGTGGACTTTAGACACATTTTTTTCCTTTTTTTTTTTCTTTTTCTCTAACCAGAAGCTTGGAAGAACACAAGGAAAAAAAAAAACCCAAAAGATCTGTTATACATGATAAAGTTGTCAAGAAATGTCTTATTTCTAGAAAAGAAGCTTGTCATCTGTTGAGCTTTTGAAACAATTATTCAACTACCTGTATTTACTAAAGAGACTGTTAAAAGTTCAATAAAAGAAACACCACAAGTCTATTTTCTTGGTTGAAAGACAGAACTAGAGTACCTCGGAACAAGATACCAGGAAAGCACAGAACACAATTTTCCCCTAAATGCAGGTGGTAACCCCAACATTCATAACCAAAAATAGAGAAACAAGGAGTACAGGTACTGCCTGGCAACATTCATGGGCAGAAAAAAAAATCCAGGTGACACCATTTCTGCATTTCTCTCTAATCCTAGAAATGGACTGTTTACCAACCTTTTATGGTTTGGGTTTCTCCCCATTTCGGAGGATCAGGAGTGCCAGACTGACATTTTCCTGCCACTACTAGCAACTGTAACACAATCCTTATCTATAGTGTTGAGACTTAAAAGCCATGGACTGAACTAGGCTTTGTTACATGGTGCATTTCTATATTAGTTCCTATATATATCATATTTATATTTATTTGAAAACAGAAACAAAAAGTTGCAAGTTTTCAGAGTGCGAGACTTGACTGGTATTCATGATTCGGCACAAAACCATCTGCTCAATAACCTTGTATTGCTTTAAAATGAAGTAAATGAATCAAAATTACACCCAGCCCTTTGCAATGACCCGCTTTTCCTTAAAAAACAAAACAACAACAAAAAAAACCCAACAGAAAAAAAAATTTTGATTTCTACTTTAAAAAACCTCAAACTTAAAAGTTAACATCTGACAAGGTTTTGACCTTTAGTATTTTCAAATATTTGATTGAACGTCAGTCCTTTAGAAAGATACATTCATCACAAGATTTTTTGTTTTGTTGTTGTATATCTATATCTATATATCTTCATCAAAAGATATTTTTGGTTTTATAATTTTTTTTTTTTTTTAAATCAGGGGAGCTGCATGGTGCTCACTGCATTGGCCGGGGGGTTTGACAGAGGCAAGCAGGGTGGTGGACTGGATCCCGGCAAAGGAGTCTGGTTGAAAACATATATAGCTGCCAGGGCTTCCCCCTTCTTTTTATTGGTCTAAAAAACAAGAGGGACTGTGCTGGAAGTGGTGGACGGTAACGAAGCCAAGGGACAACGTTCCGGCCAAAGGGTCAGCGCCATGCAGCTATTCTGGTTACACAGTTGTCACTGGCCACCAGGAAATGCAGCCACAACAGGTTCTAGCAGCAAAGCTGTAAGGGAGCTGGCTCTCTCACTGAGAACTGACCAGGTTTGCAGCTGTTACTCCTTAGGGATTTGGGGTGCCCCTTGGGGGATTCTTGGGAATGACCCACCACAGTTCCTCAGTTTGCACTTTTGTGCGGCGATTCCTTAGGTTACTTTCAAAACAAACTCAGAGGTGTTTTGGAGATAGCTATGCCATTTTTTGCCTTCTTTCCCTCTTGTAGG